AAACCAAATACCTTATAATAGTCAGTTCTTGCCTCTCTGTTTATAAATGACGGAGGCAACTGGTCTTAGAAGAGGACAACACAGGGATTAGAACAACTGTGTGTCCAGACTCACCCAAAGGCGGTGGGTGAGTTGGGAAAGTGTCTCTGATGCTCTCAGGTGCCCCTCTCTGGTGCACATTTTGAGTCCTCAGATGCCCTGTGCTTATTTCCTCCTCTGCTGTACCAAAATCTTCTTTTAATAAGGGATCTCATATCAGTTATGTATACCCTAGTGAGAATTAAAGCCACTTGATCCTTTTCTCTGAGTGCGGCTCTAATGGCTTGAGATGATCTACCTTGACTATCAAAGGCCACAGTGCCCATCTTGCTCAAAGAAATTCTAGTGTTAGTACTTCAGAAGTAATGCATTCAACAGTTGATACTTTTTCAAAGAACTTTAAAACAACCAACCTGAATTAAACTCTTTTTAGCTTTGTTACTTTGGGAAGGAAGCCGGACAATCAATTTTATCCCCAGGTTTCAGGGAAGAAACAAGCAGAGCACAAATAATGTGCACAAGCTCCATAGTGGGTTGATGGGCAGACTTTAGCAGGATGGACTCCTGACTCAGGCACAAAGGTCTTTCCTGGGAGGTAGGTGCAGGCTGGGGGAGGTCACAGAGTTTAGGCAACTTGCCTGATTCTCAAAACCAGAAAGTGGCAGCACTGTGATTTTAATGTAGGTCTCTAAACTCCTAACATGCTCTTTGGGGGTCATTTAGAGACTCCCCATCCCCCTTTCAGCATCTGAGCAGAGAGCAGTGGGACTCACACACAAAGTACAGCTTCCAGGCCTCTGGTGGGAACAGGTGATGGACTTTCCAAGTCTCTAGGGCCTGGTGAGTTCCCATGACGTGAGATCTGCCAAAATGACTGCTGAAAATGTAAATAATGCCCTGAGGCCTTTTGAAGCCGTGTTACATTTCGGTGATTTATCATCCTATAAAGGCAGAGTAGGGCATAATCAAAATATGGAAACAAGTGATTCTCCTAGGAGAGAAGGGGACCAGTCTCTGCTGTGTTGTTTATTTATACAGGATGGCAGATGGAATTCCTCCCTGAATGCCTTGGGCCAAGGTCCCTGATCTTCTGAATTCCCTCTCTGTGTTGTCACAAGGCAGGGTGTCTTGTAAAAATCAAGAAGGGCTTCAGTGTCCACTGCTGACTCCCCATCCCCCAAACCTCTCCCCACCTCCATAAACCTGTGCATTACAAAAGAAAAGTCACAGCCCCTCTTGCAGTCTTCCCTTGCAATTCATGAAAATAGTCAAAAGAATTTCTGCCAACCCATGTGCTTGCATTCATTCATAAAACATGTACAGTGATTTGTATGAGATAGGTGTGTTGCGTACATATATATTGATATATGTGCAATATATACATATGTAAATATTATATAGAAATAATAATTAGCTAATATTTGGTGACACTTTCTATGTTCCCACTTTTAAAAAATTTAGGTTATAACTCATCTTCATCCTATCCCTGTGAGGGAGGTATCTTGTTATCCCCCATGTGCAGATTAGGAAAATGAAACAGAGGTATAGTAGCTTGCCAAGGCTATATGTAGGGTTGAACTTAGTTTGCCTGAATGCTATAGAATCTCTCACCATCAGAGAAGACCATCTCCATGGATCCAAGGAAGCCAGATGCTACACTTTCGATCTTGAATGTTTCCCAAAGGTCACATGTTAAGGGCTTGGTCCCTGGAGTAGCTCAATTGGAAGGTGGTAGAACCTTGAGAGGTAGGGTCTTTGAGGGAGGTCCTTAGATCATCGGGGGTGTGTCCCTAGGGGAATGTTGGGACCTTGGCCCTTCCTGTTTCTCTTTGCTCCCTGACTCATGATGTAAGTAGACTTTTCATTCCACCATGTACTCCCTCCATGAGGRGCTGCCTTGCCACAGGCCCAAAGCCAAGGGGCCAACTGATCATGAACTGACACCTACAAAACTGTGGGCCCAAATGACCCTTTTCTCTTTATAAGTTGATTACCTCAGGCATTTTGTTATAGTGACAGAAAATTAACACATCTGACAAACAGAGGCTTGGACAAACATCTGGGGAGTTCAGAGGAAGATGGGGCCTTCTGTCTGGGGAGGTGCTGGTGGTGGGAGGTTTTCATTGAGGAGGTAACTGTGAACTGAGAGCTCATCTCAGACTTGAGAGTAATTGCTTTCTTGTCTTTACTGAAAGCAATGATCAATGGTTGCTCCTGAGTCTCTCCATGGGAGTGGAGTAACAATGGTGATAGCATCTGTAGCAGCAGCAGCAGCAGCAGCAATGATAGCAATAATAATAATGCAGTGCTTAACGCCCCGCACTGTGGCAGGAACCCAGGGCTTTAGATCTGCAATCTTCCTTCATAACTAAAGCTTAATGTTTTAAGGGTTACATCTGCACTGGCTATAATCTATATCTTTTAAGCCACACAACAATTCTAAGAGGCAGCTCTTCCTATTCCCATGATGCAGGTAAGAAAACTCAGGTTCAAAGGTATTATGTAACTTGCACATTTTGACGGCCTGGTTAGGATGGGCATGGATTTTAATCCAGTTCTGCAGGAATTTCCTGCTTTACCTTGCTACCATTTTTWATTGATCTCTTTTAAAAAAACAGGTTTCACCTATGCTTTCCTTGGTAAGGAGCTCAACCCAATTGAGCCTTTTCCTGTGAACACAAGCCACCGTCTATGGTGTGTGCTGGAGCACTAAAAAAGGACATAGTAATCAGCTTGATCTATCTTTGACTTGGCCTGAACTGCTGTGCTGCCCTCCACCTCCCCAGAGATACGTTCAGGGATTATTAAGTTTTATAGGAATGTGGAGTTTTAGTTATAGCCCTATAAATAGCTCAGTCTATTCTGTCCTTAGATTTTTTCCCCCAATATCTCACCTTATGACCTTTCCTCCCCCCTTCTGTCATCACTTCTTTAAGCCAGTTGCCTTTGCATTTGTTTCCATAACCTCCACACGTCCAGACCAGCATTCCCTCACTCTATTCTGAATTTAGGGTAGAACTGAATAAAGGTTGTCCAAGGAAACCAAGAATCATGTTTAAATGAAATCAGATATGATCTGTACCAAAGGAAGAATAAGATGCATAGGCTCTGAGTTATCTCCTTGGCTTGGGCTGCCCAGGTGCTCCCCGGCTGAGGCTGCCCAGCAACACTGTGTCGTGGGGAGAGAGTAGAATTTCCACAGTTCAACTTGCATGCACTCACAAAACCCATGAACTGGGATTTGACAGCATGTCTTTGAACTGCCTCCCTTCTTGCCATTCCCACTGGGCCTGCAGCATGGTGTGACCTTTTCAGATGAATCAGGACCCTGAAAAGAATGTGAAATCAAGGCAGGTCAGTGGGAGAATGATGGCATTACTTTCTATCAAAATAGATGAAAGATTTAAAATAGCCAGATTTCAGTGTTAAACATCATTCCCATTTTTGAGAAGCCAAATCAAAATAGAATAAAAGTGTTACTAAAGAAAATGAAAGCACAAATRTCAAAGATTAGCCATGATAAAAGGGCAGTGTAGTCATGGATGTAGAAGGAATTAAAATGATGGCCAACAACTATTGTAGATAGTGCAATTGTGGCAATTGTGGGCAAATRCAAGTGTAACTGTATGGCAATACATCTGAAAACATTGAAGAAATGGAGACGCATAAATAGATGCATGAAGAAATGCAACACTGGAATATACCAGTGCCATAAACTTGCATATGAAACCTGATAAATGTAGTATAAAACCAAACCCAGATAGTCTAATTTGTGAATAGAGGTACTAACATATCCTTGTGAATAGAGGTAATAACACAGTTGGGATAAACTTTTGGGGTAAAGCATATCATTATTCACTTTATTGATATAGAGCTAATTTTTAAAAAATATTTGTTTTTTAAAATATACCTTTTTAAAAATTTATATGTGGTGCTGAGAATCGAACCCATTGCCTCATACATGCTAGGCAAGCACTCTACCACTGAGCTACAACCCCAGCTCAGATAATATTTTTTTTAAATATTAATTTTTTTAGTTGTAGTTGGACACAATACCTTTATTTTATTTATTTATTTTTATGTGGAGCTGAGGATCCAACCGAGGGCCTCGMATGTGCAAGTGCTCTACCACTGAGCCACAACCCCAGCCCAACCAGCTAAATATTTTATTTATTATAATATTTATTTWTTTATTTTAATATTTAAATATTTTTTTAAAATATTTTTGGTGTTGTTGTAGTAGGACACAACACCTCTATTTTATTTATTTATTTATTTTTCTGTGGTGCTCACACATGCTATGTAAGCATTCTACCACTGAGCTACAACCCCAGCCCTAGAGCTAATATTTTACTTAGACTTTTACTTCTATTATTTGTCATCTGATTAAAGGAGAAAAATGTGATTAAATCAATAGAGGTTGAAGAGGCATTCAATAACATTCAGCAGCCCTTCCTAATAAAATTTCTAAAGAAGAAAATATTTTAAATTTCCATCATATAATTCTTATGCTATTTTTAAAAATTTATTTTCATATACATTTCATATACATTTCTACCCCATATAGGTAGAAATGGGAAAAATAGCTTACTCATAATCGTATAATATGTATAATTGCATAATATATATGAAAATAAAATTTTAAAAATAGCATAAGAATTATATGATGGAAATTTAAAATCTTATTAAAAGTCTTAATCAAGAGATGAACAAATGGAAAGATATCTCATATTCTTGGCTAGAAAGCTTAATGTAATAAAAATGTAACATAATTCAAACTAGAATTTCAAAGGCTCCCATGACTTCTGGTAAACAAGACCAAAGGGCTTTACATGATATAAAAACATTCCACAAAGCTTCTGCAACCAAGGACAGCACAGTATCAGGATAGGAGTCGATGAATAGAACACTAGGACACAAAGGAAAAGTTCAGGATCACACTGTTCATATGACTGGGATAAATGACAAGGCGGGTATTTTATTTCATTTGTAAACATGCCCACTGGTTATCCATCTGAAGGCAAATGAAGTTGAATTCCTATCTCATACTGCATGTACAAATATATTCTGGATCAATGAAAGACCTAAATGTAAAAAACGAAACAAAAGGTGTTAAAATCTAGGAACACATGTATATACTCTAGGAAATAGCATCTAAGGCAATAAACCCAAAGCTACACATGAAATGTTAGATATCTATGGCTATATTAAATTAGAAATGAATGTATGCTAAACATACTATAAATAAGACAAAAAAGCAAATGTTCAATGTGGAGAGGAGGTTGAGTCAAATGATAGATGGATTAAATCTAAAGAGAATTAATAATATCTATAATGACTAATGAAGGGAGAAAAGACAAGGTTCAGAAATATGTGTATGGCAAAGTTCTATTTTTGTGAAATAGTTGATGAGCATGAAGAAAGGTATCAGAGGAGGGAGACCAGAACAGTCCAAACCAAACCAAAACCCAAAAGAATACTGGTAATGCATCCCTTGTATGAGGGATTTAAAGTGTGTGTGTGTGTGTGTGTGTGTGTGTGTGTGTGTGTGTGTAGACACATATGTGGATAAAATGATGGTCACTAAGTTATTTATGGTAATAGCTCAGTGTGTAGTAGGACCTCAAATGATTTTTGTTTCCCTTGATTTTTTTAATGTAGGATAAGATTTATATATTAGGGGAAAATGGGAAGTTTTTTTTTCTTCATTATGGAAGAACAATTTTTTTTTTAAAAGGGAAAAAAAGAAGTCTGTTTATTCTTCAAATTAGCAGTGTTATACTCTCCTGATGGGCCCTTTTGCACCCTGCTTTAGTAAGGCACATCTGTCCCAGAGCCTACTTTGGAATATATAGGGAGGACTACTGACCACTAAGACCCTTGTGTCCACAGTGTGCTTATGAGCTCCAACCACTTCACACTTCACAATTTCATGGTGCATCTTCTGCGTCTCTGGCTTCTGCTCTGGGCCTCTTCCCAGGAATTTCAAGAGAGAGCGAGAGCAAGAGTGAGAGAAGGAGAAATGGGGTGGAGAAGGAGAGAAGAGAAGTGAAATGAGTGGAATGATGTTCAGATCCCCTTCCAGGGAAGAGGGATGCCCCCAGGGGAGTGTAGGGGTGGGATTCCAGTTCAGGGCATCAGCGCTTCTGTAGGTCAGACATGCACTTCATTACTGATCAACAAAACATGTCACTGATATGCCACCTTCAAAACCCCTGTACCCAGCATTTGGGACTGAATCGTTATCTTCCTGTTATGCACAGAAATTTTAAATATTCAGGAGACTCAGGAAAACAAGGTGATTTGCATCTGCTACCACAACATTCAAACCACTCTGCAAACATCTCCTGAGTACCTGCTGTGAGCAGGACAATAGGCTCCAAGGTTGCTGGGCAGAGATGGTTTCTATCCTCAGGGAGCTGAATGCCTATTTGTGGCTAGGCCAAAGTACTCAGAATAACACAGGCTGGAAAAGCTCACAGGAGTAAGGACCACCTAGAGCTAGGGACCTCATGGAGAATTTTCCAGAGGAGCTGCCAGTCTGATTTAATTCTGCAATCTTTGATGGACACATTACACTGGAAATAATTTGAGAGGGTGTTGATGGTGGCATTGGGTTATCAATAATTTACAAATGAACTCTTCATTTTGAGTTTGTAGAGGAAGCGTCAATAAACTTTTTCTATAAAAGGCTAAATAGTAAATATGGTCTTCCTCCCTTTTCAAAACACTTTAAAATGGGCTGGGGATGTGGCTCAAGCGGTAGCTCGCTAGCCTGGCATGCGTGCGGCCCAGGTTCGATCCTCAGCACCACATACAAACAAAGATGTTGTGTCCGCCAATAACTAAAAAATAAATATTAAAATTCATTCTCTCTCTCTCACTCTGTCTTTAAAAAAATATTTAAAAATGTAAAAAACATTCTTAGCTCACAGGCTTTAGAAAAATAAGCCAAGGGCCAGATTCGGTCTGTAGCAGTAGTTCTCCAACCACTATTCTAGATAATTACTATTCTGATCTTGTTATTAACAATAATAACAATAACCCTTGTCAATATACTTTATATACAACCAGAAATATGAAAAATTGTGCTGTATACATGTAAGAAGAATTGTAATGCATTTATTAAAAAAAAGAAAAAAATTATTTTTTATTTTGGAAAAATTGTGCTGTATACATGTAAGAAGAATTGTAATGCATTTATTAAAAAAAAAGAAAAAAAATTAACAATAGCCTTTGGCTTAGCATGCAAGCATTGGGCTCTGCACTGTGGCCACATTATCACATGTACTTCTCTTAATACTCAGTGATCTAGGTACTATTTTTATACCTTTTGAAGGTGAATAATTGAAGGTCAGAGAAGTTAAGTAAGTTTCTCAAGGCCGAAGTCAGAAGTGGCAGAGGCTGAATCTAGGTCTTCTTGGTTTAAGCACATACTCTTAGCCACTGCGTCACACCAGCCACAGTGCTACCATGTGGAGGCATTAGGATGCTGGGGTGGTGTTTTCCTTGTAGGATGGCAAGGAATAACCATGAAACTAATGGGAAAATGCAGAAGTAGACTGAATCTGAGAAGACAAAGTTGATAAGGCACCTGATCCTGGCTTTCCAGTGGATTCACTGGACTCCCAGGTCCTTCTGTAGCTTAAAATCTTCATTTTATAATTTCGAAACCAAGGTACATTCGTGCTACCTATCCCCCTCTCACCTCTACTCTGATAAAGAGCTCTTTGGGGGGTACTCTTAGTAGCTTCTACTCATTCAGTGTATACATGGTTCCATTCAGTTAGAATCTGATATGTAAAAGATTGCAATGAATAGTCTTTCTTTTAAAAAACTAGGAAAATAGCTGGGAGTGGTGGCACACACCTGTAATTCTAGCAGCTCAGGAGGCTGAGGAAGAAGGGTCATGACTTCAAAGCCAGCCTCATCATCTTAGTGAAGCACTAAGCAACTCAGCAAGACCCTGTCTTTAGATAAAACATTAAGAAAAGCCTGATGGATGTGGTTCAGTGATTAAGCCCCCTGGGTTCAATGCCTGGTATAAAAAAAAA